AAGTTGCCTACGTTTAATACATATCTCCCGAGAACATTTCGGTTTCTTGTCTTCATCATAGTATTTCTCAGCGGAAAACTATGGTATTACTGTAAACAGAATAATTTTCTATGATTGTATATAAGGCTCCGCAAAAACAAATCGACGCGATCACAACTGGTTTCCTTACATTTTTCAAGCCTTGAAGGCGCGACAGCAAAACGTCACTGATGTTCACGAGTGGGTTGCCGATTAGGCCCAACTGACTGAGCTTCGGAAGATGCCAGAACGTGTCATCGGGGTAGCTTTTGATAGGGTTACCTCCTATCAATATCTGTTCCACAGATACTAGGCCTGTAGGGAAAAATACATCCTATACGTTGCAATCTGTGTTGTTTTCTTTCAAACCCGGGGCCGGTATTCCTCTCCTATCATTTATTATACTTAGCTAATATCGTCATACCGTCATGTCCAACAGAAAGACATAATTTATCGTTTGCAATCAAGCAACCTATAGACAGTAGATCACATGTTTAGTACCCCCTAATACTAGTATGACCCGGTCATAAAATATGATCACATTACATCTTAAGCTTAGGCCATGTTGATTTGATTGTATGGATGACATCCTCTGGGAACAGTGTGGTGAAAACATTTTTTTAGAAACGGACGAAACTTCAAATCAACACCTTACGGAAAGCGTTGTCAAAAAATTATGATAAAATCCAAGTCCATTGAAGATATAAACTTTTTGCAACACTACGGCTGTGAGCCTGTACACCTAAGATAAGGTAACGTCACATGTACAACAGACTAACTGGTGTACATGAGACAGACTTTAATCCGACGACAGTGGTAAAAACAGTCTAAGTCAAACCTGGGACAGAAACACGTAGTGCCGTCGGGTTAAAGTTTGTCTGTCAGACATCAGGCAACTGGTTTTACCACGTCGTCGCAAACATGTCAACAACGTTAACGAGTTGACCCTTCCAGGTCATGCCATACACTCTAGCAGCAACAGAACAAGGTCGGTCAATTTTAACACTTCAGTGGGCCCGTGCCAGTCTCAGATTGGTACGTGACGGTATGGCTGAACAATTTTCACGATTGAGTGGAGAATTATAAAAAAACACATAATCGTTATTGAGGGCAAACGTTGCTGGTTTTCCAATCGCATATACGATCGTATTGCATATTTACCTTCAAATGTTGCGGCTGAGACATTAGTGAGACTGTTCCCGTATATTTCTAAGACGAGAAGGTCGGCAAGATTGGCGAACGAACCGTCCTCCACACTTGTGATACTGTTACTCTATACGGGTGTTAAACAAAACATACAAGATATTTTTGGACAACAATATATTTGGTATACGGCAAAGCTGTGATTTACATGCTAATTCAAAACACTGTGAAGTTAGTGCCTTTAAATTGCCTTTAAATAGATACGGAAAACAGCTGACGACAAAGAAAGCAACATCATAAGAATCCAATTGACAAGTAACTTGTAATGTATTCAATATTTCTCTGATGATTGTTCTCTGAAAGCAAAATATGAATTTGCTGAAATGTGCTGATGAAATAGACTCACATATAGATGAAGATACTTCAGCTTTGTCAGCCTGGCAAAATCGTCCCTCCGGACTGCCGTGAGACGATTCTGGGTGAGGTCCAGCGCCTAGCAAGGTCAAGAGGGATTTTTTAAACCCAACATCTCATGGCTAGACATGGTGACAGCACACTCAAGTTATATAAACTTATCACCAACGCAGAGGACGAATACAGGACAAGACAATACTCAGGAAAGTCATGTAAAGGGCCTTTCCCAAGGGCATAAGATCGGTGGCATGTCAGGACTCGAAACCGGGACCTCTTGGTTCCGAGTCGAGCACGCTGCCGCTACGCCACACGACCCCACGAATTGCTATAAAAAAACACATATGCATGATTTATTTAGGGCAAATGTTGCTAGTTTTTCTATCGCATACTGCTCTTTATTCTCTGATGGTTTTAGTCAAGGGGAGATCTAGACTTTTACTGACTTAATATAAGCTTTTAGTATGCTATTTAAAAAAGGGAGGATGATATGGCTCACCCATAGTTCCATAGACGGGAAAGTAGATGTTGAGATGTTCTGTAGTTTATTGTTCCTCAGAACCAATGACTGCAGCTTCACCAGGTCACCAAACGCCCCGTCCTCGATAGATCTGATGTTGTTCCTTTCTAGCAGCAGCGTGGTAAGATTGTGCAGGCCAGAAAACGATGTTTGCGGGATTGTGGAGAGGTTGTTAGATGACAGGTCCAGAAACTCCAGGTTTGGGGCGCCGATGAAGGCCATGTCAGGTAGACTCTGGATGTTGTTATCGCTCAAAGTCAGACGATTTAAAGCTGACATCTTCATAAAGGTCGCGCTGTTCAACATGCCGATGTGATTTGAATGCAGGTACAGAACACGTAGCTCCTTGAGATGACTGAAGCTCCCGTCCTCTATCGCTGAAATGTTGTTAGACGAGAGGTTGAGCTCCGTAAGAAGTGAGACTCCTGTGAACGTCCCGATGCCGATGGAGGTGAGTTTGTTGCCCTGTAGGTCGAGCATCTTCAAGTTGTCAACGAAGGAATCACTGCCAAACGCAGTTATTGTTGCGATGGAATTACTATTCAGATAGAGTTTCACGAGTTGGCTCAGCCCGTCCAAGTCCGAAGCTGATACGTCAGAGATAGCGTTTCCACCTAACCGGAGAACCCGGATGTTGGGACGGAAAACGAACGGTCTGCGTGACAGTTCAGTGATGGAGTTATCTTCCAGGCTCAGTTCCAGCAGGTTGGGAAGCGGAGGGTTACGGCTCACGTCTGACAACTGATTATCATCCAACAGGAGGACTTCTGTTGAAGAGGGTATGAGTTGATTCCGAGGAAATCCTGTGAGGACTCCGTGGCTACAGTCGACAGTGGTACCATAACATCGGCACTGGGGTGCGCAGTCAAGGGCAGTCACACCTCCGGTCAGGACAGCGAGCAAACATACCAACAGGCAAGACGTCCTTGAGCGGGCCATGGTGGCCGGCTAAAAATAGAACACAGGTATAGGCGTTACCACTTTGCTTGTCACGGCGCCCAATATTGTCCATTGCCGAACGCCCAGACGTGGTTAACCATGCCAACATATACTATTAGTTTGTGAGCATCAGATAAAAGGTATTGTGAATTTTCAGGAACAGTTTCAAATGATGTTGTGACGAGAACGGTGCTAGTAAGACAAGACCTAATGCACATTTTGAAAATACTTAGTCCTTACGAAGAAATCTGAAAGCGGAATGTTTAAAACTGTATGGGCAAACTATTTACAACCCAATTCAGAAATGGCGTCATCACGCCTTCAAATTCAATGTCACTGTGATAGAATGAGCCTAAACTACATTGTATCCGCAAGACACTAGTACTGACTGCGCATTATTAGGGCACCAATGTGTATAGGATAAGACACACACTCCTTTCTGGCATGGTTGTTGACAAAAATTAGTAAAGTTGCCGTAGTATTGTGGAAATATTTTGACCTTTACAAACCGTACGTCATGCATTTCAGACGACATATAATATAACTAACCTCTTACCAGATATGTGCCGTTTGGATCTGTCTCGTTCGTCTATATTTCTACAAAGTCTCCGCCGTGTAGTTTGCTTTAGACTTTGTGTCCCGAATTAGTCCGGTCAAGCGTACAATTAATAAGTAGTCTGTCAACATTTGCTGCATACCTGTATAATGACCATGGCTCGTCTTTTGATTAATTGTATGTGTATGTGAGCTCGAGCTTTGTTGGTGTTTAATGCCTTTGCAGCCTGATGAACCTGTAGCATTATAACTCACGTCGTCCCTGTAAACGAGGTTACGAAATATCTAATTTATGGCCAAGTATGTCTTGCTTCGTGTTTTGAGGTCGTGTTGTTGAGCCACTTTTAAAGTGTTTTAGAGGGACGATCTTCAGGAGAAAACAGAAATTCCAGACATCGATGTCATGTACACTTGAGCCACCCGGCCCATTACTTAGATATCGAAATGCACTTTGTACGTCCTTTACATGCGTTTCGTGAGCGGTCGGCGTTTTTTTTTGGGGGGGGGGCGGGGGAGGGTAGGTTTTCTGATCGCAGGTAGATCGCACACGATTAGAAGTATGAAAACCTGCCTCCCTGACGGTCGGACTGTAAAATCTCTTCATGGCGACCATAAGTGGTACTGCAGATAAGGGTCCACGAGGTGGGGCATTTGCTTCGACAGTTTGGAGGCACTTTAATATCATATTCATGATTTAGATTTATCAGAGTATGATGAAATTCTAATTCTATTAGATATTTCCATGTAAGATGCATACTACAGAGAAAATTTAAGGAAAAAAGGACTTCATCAGAGACAGCTCATACACAGAAGTTTCCTTTATTATGCATATACATTTTGTATATGTATATGTAGTTACAGGTAATCCGGTCACATGATCTCATGATTCTATGAGTCATGTTACCACTCAATTAATATTTTCATTTTGCTTGTATTTTCCATGACAAAAGGTTTTTTTTATTATACTATATTGCATTACATGTAGTAACATCTATTGAGTAGCTATGAAAAGTGACACTAAAATCATCTTAAAACAATTACTATCTATACATCATGATCAATGATTTAATGAACAGCTCTTATCATCATGGAATATTATTCCATCTGACATCTACAAATATATTACAGTACAGTCTGTGGAATCTAGATTTTAAGCCTTGGCAAAACCAATAAGCAATCATGATGTACTGAAGGAGACACAATGATACATTCCTGAGGCTAAAAAAATATGTACATGTAGTATGTAAAAGATTATATGGGCTCACTCTCATTGAAATGTACAGAATTTTGGTAATGGAGGTTACAACATCATGGCACACTTTTTTCTTAAAAAGATCAGATTCTACAGTTTTTAGCTTCATCTCTCAGGAGCAAGTGGTTATTAAGTACGGACATTTAAAAACTAGGCAACTTTTTTATACCAGGTGAAGTTTACTACTATTAAAAGTAACAAACAATGGTTACGAATGTTACATTACTGTAAATTAAATTTAAACTTTTTGTTATAGGCAAGGGTGGCTACAAATGACAACAAACACTCCTTTCTTATTCCCTTAGAAACCTACTAGTAGAAAACTTGCAAAATGTCATCAAAATGGCAATGTCTTGTTTTATACGTGGCTCTAAACTTTACAATCGTCTTACAGAACAGAGGTTACAGAATTCGAAATCTGCAGTAACGGAGGTTACAGATCTCTCCAAACACGAGGCTATAATTTCTTCCAAGTCATCAACCAAACCAAGTATTGCTGTACATTTTTTGTGCAACATAGTAAGTGTAGTAGGAAAGTGAAGAAAGTAATAGTGAGGTCCGTGATTTATCTAGTAGCAACAGCATTTTGCACATTTGAAAGACCCATGGCAGCCAAGAACATGATCAGAGATAGGGCCAAATCATGAAAAGACCATTGACAATCAAAATTGAAGGTGAAGTGCTTTGCCCTTGGAATGAAGGTGTAGAAGTGTTAAGCCAGAAGCTGACAACTTATGGACCAATATTGCAACTGACATATATATACATGGCAAGAATCAAGAGATTAGAACAAAATACAATGTATTGACATTATTTTAATTTACACAGGTTTGGGGTGCCTTTTATACTTTTTAGGTGTTTGTTTTCCACCTGTCATCAAATGCTTCCTATCTGGCTTATGTTTTCTTTGCTTATTCAATTCATCAATCATGGACAAAAGTCGTTTTTCCTGTTTATCAAAACCTTCTCTTTTCATGATGTCTGGAAAGAAAAACCGTCTTTTTGATATCAGACTGTGAACTGTGTCATCATGGTAGTAGAAGATGATAGCACATGAAAGGAAGGCAAAATGCAGGGTTAGCAAAAGCAGAGATGTTAGACGAGTAATAGGGAAAAGAAGACTAGATATCTGCATAGAACCCAGTATTCCACTTAGCATGACAAATTCTATGGCAAAGGTTACAAGCAAACAAATCTGTACTTCACGGTACTCAACATTAGCCTGGACAAGTGTGTCTTTCATTGACTTCAGAGTCAATGTTTTGCACCCATACATAGCCTTGATTGTCTGTCTGTACTCTGGCATATGCAGCATACAGAAATAGCCTTTGATAAGTGGTGGAAGCAAGGGTACAACATCCAAAAGCCTTGCCTGAAGGACATTATATCCACCCACTTGCCACAACAGGCCATTTGCAAGAAGGATAGCAAAATGAAACACTGATACGTTATATATCCAGGTGGCAGCAAAGGTTGTGAAGCTTCCATCTCCAGTGAACCTAAGTCCACTAGCTAGAGTGCTGACTATGTCCTGTAAGAATGCTGGCAACATACTCATCAGCACCCTTTTGAGACTCATGAGAATAGTCCTTACAGAGGCTTGCATGGTCTCTTTCACAGCATGCAAGGCTCCTGAGAGCACTTCAAGCAAAGTTGTCACAAAACCTTGAGTTACTTCTTTGAGCTTCATGAAGCATTCTGGGATTCCTACATAAAAATGAAGAAAAACAATGGTCAGTTAATCTGAAAATGATGTGCATTCAAGTAATGAACTTCACTTTAAGCAGCTAACACATACAATCTGGTCAAACTGTTCCATAATCATGTATACATTACTGTATGTAAACTTTATTTTCATGGCAATAGAATTTACAACATATGGCTTTTGCATGCTATAAGGTTACTCTACCTTGCAATTATAAAAAGAGGTGGAAATAAACTAACCTTTGACGCAGGAGTCCAGGATGTTGATACTGTTGATACTCATAGCCACCAGCTTGCATGCTAGAATATTCAGCAAAGTCAGCAGACACTGCAAAATAAGAACTAGAATCAAGCTGATGCTATCATGAGGCTACCAATTTGGCTGAGCCATATAAGTGTCATGATAGCAATTTGATACCTTGATTTTCAACATCATGAAATGTACGTATGAAAATGAAAATCACATTTAAGTAACTTAAAAACTGAATTTTCACAGACCTGCAGGTCATAAGGCATGACTGATGATTCTTGGTCAATGCTTTCATTGTCACCAGTGGTGGTTGTGTTGTTGCCAACCAAGGTACCATTGTGGTACAGCTCTGGTCCATTCAAGTATCTGTCTGGGTAAAGCATTGACTTTGCCCTCTGACATATCTGTAACATCAGCGGATCTATGCTAATTCACAAGTCATAGAGGATTCTGTCTTGTTTTTTACACATCAAGTCACATTGGGAATTCATACAACCAAACTATGCACATTAAATTTTGTACTCAACAAGGCCGTAGACATCATGGAGTACAAAATTTAATGTGCTTTCCTCTTGATTATAACTTAGAAGGTAACTTGACAGGCATCCAAAAAACCAAAGATTTTGATAGATTAAGGCAGTTACAAAAGAGAAAAAAACATAAAGAAAGTGGTTTTGAAAATATTAAAATTTTGCTGCTTCAATATTGATCATAGACCTATCCACTACATGGGTGTTTTTCAGTGCTTTCTGAATAAAGGCATGGAAAGAAAACCTTAAGCCAAGAGAGGCCTAATTCACCACTGGTCTTACCTGGCCATTTGCCAGCAGCTTGTGCAAACCCTTTCCCAGCTGTTCCAAATGCTCCTCTTCACATTTCTCCATAGATGTCAGGTTTAAGGCCTCTAGGTCAGACAACTCTTTTGGAATGTCACAATCCTCCAACAGTACAGGTAGAAGCTTGCAACCATCTGTCTTCACTGAGTCCAGGAGTGCCCAGTCCTCCTCTTTCTTTGCCCAGAAATTGTTCAGGAAGGCTTTTGAAATGGCCACAATGATCACCTCGGTGTTTGTGATGCTGTTAATGCTGTTGTCTGTGATTGGGTGACCTGGAGTTGCATCACGACCCCGGTAATATACACTTTTTTCATAGTTCTCCTCCAGATACTGTGCTGCACACTTTACCCATGGCAAGTCTTTGTCATCATAGACAAAAGTGGCATTGTACAGCTTCTTTTCTGTCAAAAGAATGCCAGTAAAAAATGTTAATAAAAGTTGGATGGTCATGTCAAGAAATAAACATTACAATTGTATTGTCAAAATATCTAATGTTAGATCTATGAAGTTCATACATGGATACTACATATATCCCCTACAAACAGCTAAAAGGATTCAGCACCCAGGACAGGGCACATTGGCACTGTTGTTTAAAAAAAAACAAATGCCTTCCTTCCTGTGTGGTCTTGCTAACCAATGATTGAGTCTGGCTATCTTACAAATATTATCTAAGGACCTCAGGGATAATAGCACTAGGAAAAAATATTACAATTTCGTGCATTAAAAAAAACTTTTCAATACGTCACTGTTGCAGGCTAATAGCACTACGAAAAATATTATTTATTATAATTTCATACATTGAAAAAATTTTTCTTGGTTCACAGTTGCAAGGACTACCAAAGTCGAACTTTGTCCCTGGAGAAAGTATGCCAGAAGGGGATTCCCCTTACTATGTAACGACGCCATCTTGGATTTAAAGGCGGCCATTAAGGGGTGTTCTACACCACATACAAATGTCACATCAACGAAGAGAGTGTAACAACTTATCAATATGGTCAATGGGGGTTTAAAAAGATCGCCTTACATGCAAGTCAGAAACTTGGTAGAGGGCAGCATAAGTCACAGAGAGAACATTTCTCATTTGGTGAATTGGATATCAAGTACATGTTACTAGAAATACCTTGAAGTTCATCAATCATTCTACGGGCGCCCTGGTCATCCTGTCGTTGACTTTCTAGTCCAGGGGCCATTACAAAGACGACCTAACCCATTGTTGTCAAAAGAGCATCCAAGGAGGTCACCCCTGGACAGGGGAGTGTCGGCAGAAACAGGTGTTTGTGACAGTCTGCCCAGGGTCCTGTCGACTTCTCTCCGTCACTCGGACGCAACAGGCAGCCCCACATGAAGTTCACATGGCCAGAAATGCCCCCGACGCTCAAGTTGACAATAGCTTTCTATATATTTTGGCTAAATCTGCCAGGAGAAAAAGTTTTGCCCCTGAACCTGCAGGTACAGTGGTACCGTCCTTCCTGACTGCGTATGCACAATCTGAACCACTGATGATGATGCAACTACGGTCAAAGGTCATGAAGGGGCAATCACCCTAGTCTATTACATTATACCTTCGCCTTCAAGATTATGTTTTCGGGTCTGTATGTACAAGGAGGAGAAGTTGTAAATGGATCTTAGATGTTTAAAAAATCCTTTTTGTAAAGGTATTAGACTTACATATTTTGGGCCATTGTGTTATTTGGGTAGAGAAGATGATTACCTGATATAACTGATGCAAATAAGGACCTAATTTGCATAGTCAGAAAAAAAAACCTTTCGAATACGTCAGTTGTAAGGGTTAAAATTATTTGGCGAAAGTAATTGAGTAGATTTGGTATGTTGGTACGCGTTGACAAAATAAACATGACCCTAGCGGTTCTCCTAGGTAATGCAGCTGGACTCCCGCTTTTGATTCCTGGACATGCTAACAGTTACGTGTATGGTAGAGATTTTAAGTTAACAAGAGATAGCTCTTGGATTCGTCAATATATGGCGTTGGTTTAGGCCGTCTAGAAGCAGACGCTGCTTTGTTTACATAATTGATGACGACATTTTTTGGCTACACGATCGATGATAGATGATAACTCTATCTACATTTGATTCTCTCTGAACCCAAATTTTCAGCTCTCTATTTCTACATGCAGATTTTTTGCAGGACAGAATGTTTTTTCTCCAGATCTCTCTATTAGTAAATAGATAATGTGACATTCGTATTAGTACTGTTCTATTCATTGACTACTGTGTAGAAAAAAAGACACACACATATTCAGAATTAGTAGTAAAAGCCTTTATTTCAAAGCCTAACGTCTCCAGATTGTTTCAAATTTGCCCAGTCACCATAGCTGTTAGTTAAGATAGGAAGCTTCTTTTTATCACATGTACAGTTGAGTGTTCAGTTTTGTAAGTTTCTTAGATATATGCAGGAAACTTTCCGTATTAAAATCGTGAATATCAAATTTCACAATAGTAAGAGTGTACAGCAGTTACAGGTGGTTGCCATTATAACATGTCATGCAGTATGTGCCATATTACTACCAGAAAATAATAGAGTGCAATCTATCTCAGGTTTAAAGCAAATACAATCCGTTGGGGCCGTGCAGGGCGCTCACTGCACCTCTGAGAACGCCTTTTGCCTCTCCTGTAGGCTGATCTCGGTCTTGGAGCCCGCGACCTCCAGCTGACGGAACACGAACATGGGCATGTTCCCCTTGACGCCCGCGGCCGGCCTGCCGAAGGTGCAGTTGGTCCGCACCATGGCACGGTAGGTGTCGCCGCTGCTGGTGCTGTCAAAGGAATCAATATACAGTTCAGCAGACGCCATCGTGAGAAAAGTAAAGCCTTTCTAGAATATCAACCCCTGTCACAAGTTTCAAATAACATGGCAGATGTCGCTTTTTCTCCCACAGAAATACAACTTTGTTTTCAAATTCATCAAGTTGCAATACACTCACTGATATCTTATTTACTGCCCTAGCCCTTTGAAACTACGCCTAAAAAAGTTGGCTTCATGCATGTTAACCGAATCAAATTCTACACCACGTCTTACCGGTAGGCCCAGTCAATGTTCTCGACCACGGTGTGATCGTCGACACTGGTCAGCTTCGCCACGGACCTATCCAGGGAGGCCAGGGAGTTGGTCATCACGGGTCCGCTGGCGGGAAAACCGCTGCCAACCAGCTGAAACGACCAAGAATTGAGGATTAGGCAAATTGTACTTACCATGAAGGATAATCCCAATTATACCTCACACGAACTATTTGGGTATATCATTTACCTTATGCAGTATTTCCTATGCTTATCGCTAGGTGGCGCACGTGTACAAAGCTCTAATCGCAAAGCATCACGGGATATCATGACGTAATGACATTGTTCGCCGCCATTTGACGACGTGCGAGAAAGAGTCTGTGCTGTTCACCATGGGTGGGCATTTTCAGCTACTTGGGAGCTGAAGAACAGCAAGGGTGGGAAGATATACCCAAATAGTTCGTGTGAGGTATAATTGGGATTATCCTTCATGGTAAGTACAATTTGCCTAATCCTCAATTATACCTGCACACTCCCTATTTGGGTATATCATTTACCTTATGCAGACTTCAGAGCCGTGGACAGCACAGCCTGGCCAAACGTGTGTTGGTTGTTGTCCCTCCTGTAGTACTTCAGGAAGGTAGACTCTCGTGACCAGTCCGCTGCATTCATGATGCTATGTAGAGACACCCCAGCAGCTGTAGCAGCTGAAGTGGATGCTCCTCGAGTGGAATGAGCTGAGAAAGTTGCTGTGTCAACACCTGCCGTGCCTAACACTGACTTAACCCACCTGGCCAGGGTCGCAGAACCAACTGGCCTGTGTGGTCTGCTGAACGATATGAACAACTTCTGCTCCCCCCCCCTTCTTTCCGAAGGGAAGAAGTCCGCCTTAGATATTCTTTCAGGTATGTGAAGGCACACAAGCGCCTGTCCTGCGGGAAGGCCGCCCAAAAACACTTTCTGGCAGGTTTCCCTGGTCTAGAAGTTTCAGCAGGGTAGGAATTGTCCAAGAAAACACCGTTTCTACATTTTTTTTTTTTTTTTTATGAATCTCAAGTCAAGCGCCGCTAAAGTCTGACCTCTGTCGGCTGACACCAATGCCGCTAGTGTTACCAACTTATGAAACAGCTGTTTCAAACTAAGACTATTAGCTTGGCAACAATGCAGAAGGTACTCTAGGACCCGACTGACGTCCCATGTTGAAACATATCTTGGACAAGGAGGACGTTTGTGAAACAGACCTCTCATCAGTTTGGACACTAGAGGGTGACTACCCACATTACAATGGTCTACTGGTAAGTGTACAGACGAGATCGCAGAACGAGCCACCCCAATTGACATACAATGTATAGCAGTAGTTCTGTCGGAACATCCATTCAAGATATTCTACTACGCTCTCTATAGAGCCGCAAACTGGATCAATCTTCCTTCTATCACACCAGCTGGCCCACTGAGCCCATGCTGACTGATACTGTCTAGAAGTGCTTTCTCTCCAAGCCGAGAGGATGAGGTCTGAAGCCCCTGCCGAAAGGCCCCGACCCTGCAACTGTCGCCTGATCTTGGCCACGCGGCAAGCATCAGATCTGGCAACAGCGGATGGGGTCTCCTGTTGTGCGGCAGGAACAGCAGATCCCAGCTCTGTGGCAGGAGAACCGGACTCTCGAACAACATGTTCAACACCTTGGGGTACCAAGCCTGAGACTCCCAAACTGGAGGTATCAAAATCACTATTGCTACGTCTGACTGGACTTTCCTCAGTACCTTGAACACTAGGCTGAAGCGGGGAAAGGCATGCGCTAGCCCCAGGTTGCCTCAGTGAATGTTTAGGCCATCCACCGACATGGCCTCTGGTTCTGGGCGCCAAGAGACATACTCCTTCAGCTGAGCGTTCATACGAGAAGCAAACAGATCTACTGTCAATGCATTGCCTGTCCAATTGTTCAATGACAGGAAAAACTGAGCGGTTCAGTTGCCACTCTACCTTGTCCAGAAAAAACCGGCGAACACTTGTCCGCTAGGGTGTTTGTCAATCCGGGAACGTGAGTTGCAGACAACGTCAGGCCTCTTTCCAGGGCCCACGACCACATCTCCAGGGCCAAGGCTGCCAAATCTGGCGACCTTGTTCCCCCCACGTGATTCACATATGCAACGGCTGTTGCGTTGTCCAGCCTTAGCAGATCATGCTGAGTATCTGCGCTCACAAAGCTTCTTAGCGCCAGGGAGGCCGCTTTCAATTCTAGTCAGTTGGTCACAGTGCATGCGCGCTTCTGTTTGCGACCAGCGCCCGCCTGTCTCCTGACCATAACAATGCGCGCCCCATCCTTCCAGTGAGGCATCCGTGCAAATTGTCAGGTTTGACGGAACAAAGACTTTACTTCGCGCACATGACCGATCCACCACTGTAGATCTTTTACTGCATCTGGGGTTAGACTGACTAAAGAGACAAAATTCTCTCGGCTTCTTTATGTCGAAAATTGAGAAGCTGTTGCAGAGCCCGGAAAAGTAAGGGCCTTGGAAGAATGGCTTGCTTGGCGGACTCTAACAGCCCCACCACGCTGGCTAGCTGTCTGATTCCTATCACCTCCTGTTCTAGAAGTGATAGGCAAGAACTCACTACCTTGTCTAACTTGTCTTCGGTTAGGTAAATTGTCAAAGTACGAGAATCGAGAACAAGGCCTAGGAAAATCGCTACCTGAGACGGTACCAACCGCGACTTCTCCAGGTTGAGAACAAACCGAGTTGCTCTAGAAGCTCTCTGCCTATAGCAATGTGCTCTAAGCATTGTTCCCTCGACCTTGCAATGATCGGTAAGTCGTCTAAGAAACTACTACTAGTAATCCAGGGGTCTCCCCAAGCAATGAAACAAGGGCGCTGCGCCTCTCAAAAAATTTTCAAATGTAGGGTCTTCTCTTCGTACTTTTGCTTGTGTTAGCTTGGCTAATTCGTGAAATTTTGCTGATTTGGGGGCCAAGCGGCGTCACTATGCCCATCGGTATTGTCTGACAAAAGTTGTAAAAAGGCGCTATTTGAATAACAATAGTCCACTTTGCTACACAAAATCAATGTGTTTGGTAAAATGTTGACACCCTGCTGGCATTTGAAAATCCTATTTTCATGTAAACAACGCTAATTTCTCCATGAAATACAGCCCAAACAGTCAGAGAATAGATTTTTAGGGGCTAGTATATGGCGATCGTAACGTGGAAAATCCCCTTTCAAAATTCGGCAACATGGAAGAAAAATAACTCACGAAAATCTTCCCTTCAAATGAGGAATCAGTGCTCCAACAAATTAAACATATAGAGAAGAACATTTCTTCTTTGTTGTGACCTTGTATTCAATCCATTTTTACGAGTTTTGGACACGTTTTCGTGGCCTTGAACATAGAAATGTGTAGCGCTCGGCACGAGGTCGGCCATCTTGTTTTCTTCAAATCTCCCGATATCTCGCGAGATTCAGTGAGACTTGGGCAAAAACACTGCAGTTTTGACCAAAACCGCTAGATGGCTAGGGTAGAATTACAGGTTTGTTGTTGTAGGGACGAAAAATGTAACCCTTTTAGTTTGAGGAGTACTTGTTGTAGCTATAGTTAAACTTTGAACGGTTGGACTTAGAAGTGCTCGAAGGGGCTGACTTATAAGCCTTACTCAAAGTGCGTCTAGCCTAATCGGCTGAATTAACCTTCTCCAAAAAGGTGTCTCCAAATTAAGAAGGGGAAGAATCTGAAGTTCCCGAGCAGGTCGCTACATTTTTGAGCGAGGACTTTACTCACAAATTTGGAGTTTAACTGCTGCCAACAACTACTCTACTAAAAGGTTAGCAGCCATGAGCATCTTATCCTGGCAATCACTAAAATTCTTATCAGTGTTTACGGTATCATGCTTGATCATATTAGCCACTACTGGGTCTAGAATCGGCGCCCGAAGTGCTAATTCAACATTAGGTGGAGTGGGAAAAGTTTTCCTTCCTCTCTTCACTAAGGGTTCGGACCATCCTCTAAACCCGATGCTGTTTGCAAAGCGATAGAATCGTCTTTGGTGTTTTTTGGGATCAGCTTCCTCTACTATGACTCAGTATAGACGTGAAATGTGTGGCAAGGACATGAAACAAGATATGAAACATGTCTTCAAGACCGATTTGCCCACCGGTTCCTCCAAATACTTATTTGAAGTTATTATCGTAGGGATTATCAAACGACAAGGAGTTACCTTCGTCAGAGTCAGAAAAAGGTGATTTTTTCCTTCCTCCGAACACTCTTCCACTTCAGAACCTGGATGCTCTCGCCGGAACCGACTACACCGGCTCGGCTGGTCGACGCTACCGCCCCGTCAACGTCCCGAGGTTGACGGGATGAACTGGACGCCTGAGGAAGTCCCAAGCTGGAACTGATCCACTGAAGAAAAGAGGCAGCGTCGAATCCAGGCGGGAAGGGTGTTTCTGATGGAGGTGGGGGTGGAGGAGACTATTCCCCACCAAGCTTCGGCACGGTCGGGGAGCCCAACTCCTCCGAGTCCGGAGGAAATTTAGGCCGGGGCGGCGGCAGCTCCGCGCCGTCTCCTTCCTTGACCGATGTTCCCGGTGCCAACGCCGAAGGGGCATTTCGCTCCCAAGTGGCGGATGTTCCCGGTGCCAACGCCGAAGGGGCATTTCGCTCCCAAACGGCGGAATGAGGTTGGAGTTCTTCTCTTTTTCCTCCGAACCTCCAGCTGTAGGAGCGGGGACTTTTCGTTCACCCGACTCCTCTTCCTCCTGTCCGGAGGCTTGTGCAGACACGCCTGTCTTTTCCACGGCCAGGAATTTTTCCTGACTAGCGTTGGGAAACAGGCCGCTTCTCTTGCCGTTACGACCCGTCTGGTCCTCCGAAAGGCTACCTGAATCGCCCTCGTGGGCAGAAGACTTCGTTTTATCCTTCTTTTTGGGCCTAACGCCGAAAGAAAATCCGAAAAAATAAGGAGTAGGGAAACGAACGTGCACCCCTCTGCGAACGCACAAGGAAAATGGCGGCGAACAATGTCATTACGTCATGATATCCCGTGATGCTTTGCGATTAGAGCTTTGTACACGTGCGCCACCTAGCGATAAGCATAGGAAATACTGCATAAGGTAAATGATATACCCAAATAGGGAGTGTGCAGGTATAATTCATTTTATTCAACACATCCCCATACCGAACGGCTTGATACTGTATGTCTGTGTGTCCTCAGTGATGCTGAAATTTTTAAAGTTTTACGTGCACCCGAAACATGCGAAAGAGCATCTTCAATAGTTGTGATCTATATATTAAACATCCGCCGAGTAATGCTTAGGCCAATATTACACTGGTGCCCGTAGTCCGTGTGAGACCAGGCAGGGCTCAGAAGTAGGGTGGGCACCGATAGTCGAGGTCAGAACTCGTACCAGGCATTAATATTTTTTTTATTTAAAAAATTCGGTAGGGGTCGTGGGGTGGTCCGGTGGGCATCAGAAATATGCCGTTCACTGCATATGATCAGTAATATAAAAAGATTGTCCCGGTGTACAGCCAGACATCGGGAGGGGTACTGTCGGGGTTATTACGGGGTATTTTGGTCACTGGGCCCGGATTAATTTTCACTCCCGGTCAAAGAAAATCCGGGGCCCGACCGAGCCCGAAAGGAGCCCGGCAGCCACAGTGGAGTCCCACGGTACCGCGTCTGATAGTGCAAAAAAACAGCCCGTTAACTTCTTGGCGGGGACATGTCTTTTCTGTGAACAATTGTTTACACAGCATACCTTTAAGTGAACTCTAGCCTTTATAATAAATAAGCCATACATCACATGATAAGGCATCAGCTAGGGTAGAACGTAACAAATTTCGATGAAATATACATGTAGGTAAATGTCACTTTATACTGTCAGGCAAATTTAAATTTCGGTGACCTACATGGAAGTCTCCTTTGATCTTGCCGCCCTCGTAGGTGTAACGATAATTGGCAGTCAGAACGGCGCCGTCCTCAAACTGCATGGTACGATGTTCGTTGTACCTGAAGAATACAGTCAAACACGAGATCTTTACCGGGTTCCTGAAGAGGCAGAGTGCGTCTCAAAAGCTTTCCAGAGCAGCAAATTTTTGCTGTGTGTATCGTTTAAAAACATTCGTCAAAAGGGACAAGTTATGGTAATCATACCCTTTGTAATAATGAAGGACGGAAAATGGAGTGTTGTTTTACTGGACAGGTTTCGTAGTAGTACTAGTAGTAGTAGTAGTAGTAGTAGTAGTAGTAGTAGTAGTAGTAGTAGTAGTAGTAGTAGTAGTAGTAGTAGGCATACTTCCCTCTCGAAAGATGGTTTAACGTATCCGTATTTAACAGGTTTAACGTACAACTAGCCAAAAGACGTGTCCGACCTACCCTCCGTCCTTGATGGCGGCCTGGTAAGGCGACGGTCCGCTGGGGAAGGGCAGGTACTGGTAGAACCCGTACCCCAGATGTGGGCCCACGATGAGCGGGGAGAAGGCCAGGCCACCTTTGGTGGACTTCACACGGGTCTCCACGGACCCCTGTAAAGGAGGAAAATGTTTCGTAAGACTTTATGTGACACCGTGAAAATGGGAAAACGATATGCTCTTAAAAATGGTATGAAAAACTACGTAAGAAGAAAATGCAAGGGAAAGCGTGGTCACATGAAACGTCACATGCTGTTACAGGTGTAGTATACTGCAGAGCGCACTTACGTCTTTCGGGTTGCCGCTACCGCCTCCCACCATATCAAACTCCAAACCGTTGATGGAGCCATGGATGTGCAAGTCGTGGCTTGTCGGGAGAGACTGAAATGAAAGTGCATGTACATGCCATCAATATACGAACGGCTAAACAAGCAAACGATCTAACAAGAGATGTAACAAGCAAAAGGAGTTTACGTATAGGGCACTATGGAAGACGTGTATGGCTCTGGGTGGACGGAGAAAGTGCAAAGCCAGGGAGACGATTATAAAGCGGAAAGAAAGAAGAAAAGTAGCGCGATGTAGTCATGGCAAGCTTGTAAAGAATGTCATGGACAAATTTCGATCGATTTGGGAGTAAAGAAGAGCTGGATCTGTAGGGCTTGGAGAAACAACGCAATGTAACCAGGTAAAAAGAACAAGTATATATAGACTGCAAAGGGGCAGTAGTATCTTCGGGAAGATGAGTTACTGAAGATAATTTCCGACAAATTTTCAGGATTGGAAAACAGAGAAATTGAAATTTAGAAACCTATATTTCGCCTCCAAGAAACTTGCAACTACAGCTCATCCCAGTTTGATGTCAACGAACAAGAATTAATATGTTTAAAAACAACAGCACATGGCTGAATGAAATGACTCACCATGATTGCGCTGATTGGCGACGATGTGAAGACGGATGTCGTCTGGAAAATTGAGAGAACTCTGAAAGTACAGCTTCTCGCAGTCAGTGAGCTGCAGTCCTGCAGACGGTCTATTTATTCATTTTTTTCAAAAAGGGGAGGAGTTTTAGAAACAATGCATGGGAGAATCAGGTGAGAATCACATGAGTATCATGTGAAAAAATCCTTTTCAGCAACTGCAATTAAATGTAATTATAAAATATACATCATTCGATAAGAGACCATGGTGGAATAATGCGGTAGTCATGTCTTCAAGAAGGGGGAGGAACTTTGAAAACAATGCCCGTAGGGAATATCAGGTGAGAATCACATGAGTATCATGTGAAAAAGTCCTGTTCAACAACTGCGTGTAACCTTTAAAAAAACATAAATCCATCAATGAAACCTAGATGTGTCAGCCAACGCCTGAGGGTGATCCGGATCGAGCCGGATCTACTCGGCTCGCGATCCGGACAATTCTATCCTAGTGGGAAAAGTGCCATATATAGAGTTTGTCAGACTCTTTTTATTTAATTTCAGTGAAAGAAATTTCTTTTATTCATGCATCAGCATTTCTGTATAGTTTCCGTCGCTAGAAAATCCTCCAAAACGTCCAAATGGGCATGGGTTTCCATCATTGTTTTGGCAACCATCGAAACGTGCTTGGTGCACGGGACCCAGGTCCGTCCAAATAGAAGATACTATCATTGAGCCTCAAAAAAAGGAAACAAAGAAAGAAAGACAGAAAATTAAACATTCGGCCTTTGCTGTCAACGTGTCATGTTGCACGAAGCCATAGCAATAATTATGTTCCAAAGTTTTTCAACAGCCGTTGTCTATTTTATTCCAATAGACGTCTTTTTCCCACTTCAATGCTTCCAGGGGGTTTGGATAGCAAAGAAAAGATAGATTGTTAGGTATCTTGCGTCCCCGCAAGCGGTTTTACAGACTTCGGATGTACGTGCTTAAAAAAGTTGCATAGCTGTACAGCTGTTTCTTTAGGACCAGGTTCTACGTATACATTAAATGTGATACTGCAGTTAAGCCTCAAATAATGAAACAGGTACGGTCTTTGAGTTCCGGATATGTTCCGTGTTGCATTTTGCTTGAAGATGTAATAATACCAAGTGGCTGTGTCTTCGGTGCGGTTTGAGCTGAAAACCATATTTTCAGACGATATAGTCAAGCTGACAGGGTCAATTAAATAAGATCTTTTGCAAAAAAAGCCTTTTCAGAGATTGATTTTTGCTGCAATGATTGTTCCATTGCATAGAAACATTGACAAGGTAAGCAATTAAAGTTCTTGAAATGTTCTGGAACAAGGTGTGAAGGTCGTTCAGTCACGAGACACAACAAAAGTAGGTCACCGACCTTAAGGCCAGTTACTAGAGTGGCCGCTTGTGACTCTTTTTGCAGGAAAATTCTTGAAACATTTTGAAATTTTTGGCTGAGCCTGCTCTCCCAACAATTTTAACTGTTTTCATGAAGAATTACATTCCAAAATTATGAAAATTACGGGATTTTGGACCTTCACTTTTTAAAAATTGTTATGGTGTATGGCTATCATGCCATTTTTGTAATCCTTGAAATATAGCAGACTTTTGAAATGTATGCAAAAATGTACGGCTGTTTCTTTCGGACCAGGTTCTACGTATACATTAAATGTGATACTGCAATTAAGCCTCAAAAAATGAAACAGGTACGGTCTTTGAGTTCCGGATATGTTCCGTGTTGCATTTTGCTTGAAGATGTAATAATACCAAGTGGCTGTGTCTTCGGTGCGGTTTGAGCTGAAAACCATATTTTCAGACGATATAGTCAAGCTGACAGGGTCAATTAAATAAGATCTTTTGCAAGAAAAAGCCTTTTCAGAGATTGATTTTTGCTGCAATGATTGTTCCATGGCATAGAAACATTGACAAGGTAAGCAATTAAAGTTCTTGAAATCATGTGAGAATCATGTGAGAAATTCTTAACAGATTACTGCAATTAACATGTTACATTTTGTAAAAAGACAAAGAACGGAGACAGGTATCTGCAGAACAACGCCTCAAGGTGTTCTTCATGACGTCAATACTGACCTAGATAACGTTCACATCACACAAGCCCTTATTATGTAACAAGAATTCTGAGATCTCAGACCTCCGTGAAATATCTACATCTTGTGAGATGGTGACTGTATCCTCTTCTCATTCACCATGATGGTGTCTACAAATCTTTATTTATTGTGCATGGGAAACAACACCAGCTGCCATGTAACGAAAAACACCCGTGAAACAGTAGCGCAACCCATGGCCAGATGTAGACGTGATTAATGACTTTCTCCCTCTTGGAAGACTAAATCCAGCCATATCCATTACAACCTGTCCTAATGGCCATGTGGAAACAGACACACACACGAACGCGCGCACACACACACACACAAACACACACACACACACATGACACAGATTTACCAAGGTTTGATTTTAAACCTCTAAGTTGAGATGCACGTTCAGAACACGATTGCAAAATAACCATGAACAATGTTTGATTTTGATGCTGAAAAATGCATTTCATTACAAAAAACCGTTTCAGTTTTTCAGCTGTGTCTTCGGTGCGGTTTGAGCTGAAAACCTTATTTTCAGACGATATAGTCAAGCTGACAGGGTCAATTAAATAAGATCTTTTGCAAAAAAAGCCTTTTCAGAGATTGATTTTTGCTGCAATGATTGTTCCATTGCATAGAAACATTGACAAGGTAAGCAATTAAAGTTCTTGAAATGTTCTGGAACAAGGTGTGAAGGTCGTTCAGTCACGAGACACAACAAAAGTAGGTCACCGACCTTAAGGCCAGTTACTAGAGTGGCCGCTTGTGACTCTTTTTGCAGGAAAATTCTTGAAACATTTTGAAATTTTGGGCTGAGCCTGCTCTCCCAACAATTTTAACTGTTTTCGTGGAGAATTACGATTTCCAAAATTATGAAAATTACGGGATTATGGACCTTCACTTTTTAAAAATTGTTATGGTGTATGGCTATGCCATTTTTGTAATCCTTGAAATATAGCAGATTTTTTAAATGTATGCAAAAATGCAAATTTAGCTACACATTGAATTGGCCTGAAATTCAATGTCAGAAATTTAACTGACATAGTATTGTCTCGTGAATATTGAAATTTTGTTACAACAAATATTTGTTACATTTCCTGCTTCTGTGATGTTGACTTTGCGAAAAGATGACACACAATATAAGACTGACGTTAGAGGTATCATTTAGTTCAAAAAAGTGCAAACCTACATTGATTTTGTTCACAAACAACTGCATATATTTCATCACTTACAGAATATGTACATCAATTACACAAACATGCTCTTCAATCACCTAATGATCAAATACTAGTAGATAAAATTAGCAGCAAGTATACAGTCATATTCCCAACTTGCGATTAGAATACAAAAGTCCGTAACATGACACATTTAATTCTAGTAATACCTACATTTGTATCAAATTGTTACCATATTTCCAGACACTGTACAGAATGGATGATACTGAACAGCAATTTCATGTTGAGAAGTCACTGTTACATTGCACAAAGTTAGATGTGACAACAACTTTGTTACACAGCATTTACTTTCTAACCATAGTTAAATCAATTGTTGATAGATTATATACAGCAGGTTTGTCACAATATTTACAATCCAACTTGTCTTAACACTGCTATTTACAGACATATAAATTGATTGTAATTTTTTCAGGTTGATACTATACATTAATTTACTTTTCATCCATTTCTGCTCTTCCCTAATTTTTATGTGAATTTAAGTTATTATATTTCCTATTCAAGTCCATCCAAGGTCATTCCTAAATGCAGATAAGGTTGGTTTTACAAATGCTTATAAGACAAATCTAAAAACAGAATACTTACAAATTCCCTTCAACAATATGTACACTCTGCTTTTCACGACAGATACATTGTACATCTTTAAAACAAATTAAGTAACATACTACAGTCAAACCTGGCCAGCCAACCACCTCCTATCATAGACCACATTAACTGTCTTACCAAAACAGCAACCACTTTTTTGCAGACCCCATCTTCAAAATCAACCCTAATCGACAACCAAAATTGATGATGATTGGGAAAATCAGTGAAGAGTTATTGTTCATAGCATAAATTGAACCAGTGAGAGCTATGACATAGAAAAATGCAAGCATTTTATGGCTGTTTTTAGGAAAAGACAACTTGCCCAAAAACCACATTTGTTTGTTAGACAAATGTGGCCCTGGTGGTTAAACAATGCTTTACTGAAATTCTATTTACCTGACAACAGTGTTTATAAACACAAGGTTTGACTGCAGTACATAAATTCACCACTGAATCCAAATGTAGATTTATAATTGTACTGTCTCGTTCATGAAACAAGACAATTCTGGTAAAATCCCCTGTACGTGGCTTATACTAGCTTGGATATAAAATGACCAATGGAACACAATACAGTATTTTGTGTCATAACTAATCTTGACCTAAATGTCAGACAGTCTTCTACATATGACATCATATGAATACCAAGTTACCAACAGACAGTAAAAAAAACAGTATAATACATATAAAAATTGAGACATCTCAGACAAATAATTTCAAGAATGTCTCACCCTGATTTTCCTGGTGACTGCAGCTCCATGTGCATAGCCAAACATAACATTAACCATATGAAAAAAAAACCATTGTATTATACATAGACAGTTGCCTGTACAGTTAACCTTTTGCAAGCCAACTTACAGACATAGCACTACAAATGTGGCACACAGGGGACACCCACAGTGTGCTAAGTGTTACTCCATATTGTCCAGCATACTGTCCGCGGCTGAGTATGATCTCAGCTCCGGGACGTAGTCGGCTGACACATCTAACAGCTCCTCTGATTGGTCATTGCTAGCAGGAGCAGTCTTCTTTCTCCTAGATGGTAGAACGAGGGGAACACAGCCGGATATACACACGTGCCACAGACTGTGCAGGTAGGCATAGTTTCTCTCTGTCTCGAAGAAAGCGTAGGTGACCAGGCCAGTACCGGCCAGGATTGTACCCGGGAGCAGATAGAACAGGATGCGCCTGACTGATGGGTACATCTTCTTCCTCTTGCGACACTGCAGAATCTAGGGGGAGAGCGGTAGAGACAATGTTATGACAGCTTAGCCAGAGCCCTGAAGTCTAAGTATGCTGTTTAAAGATTGACTATTACCTAAATAAATAATGGTAATACATGTTTTTTATTGGTTTTGCTGCTTAACACACACAGCCATGGCATGGTGGCCGAGCTAGCCTGTAGCTATTACAAAAGGCTTGCTTTAACTGTAATATGTGATTGTGTAAATCTTACAATATGAAAATAAAGCAGTTAAAAATGATACGGAAATTCAGGATTGCTGGTTTCTTGTGTTCTATTCTATTGTAAAAGGACAAATGCTCAGGTCATGTAATTGGTGGCACAACATATCAAGCTAGTTACATTTTGGCTGCTTTCCTGGCAACATCTTTCTTTCTTTTGCAGGTTTGGGGAAATGCAACACAACAAGAAGATATCTGAGCAAAACTCACCCAGGAGATGAGCACGACCACAGCCAGCACACCCACGGGTACAGCAAACACCCACAAACCGTGGGCGTCATACTGTACCCCAGCTGACACCCCCAGCGCCCCCGCCATGTGGGCCAGTCCACGCCACGGCTCCGGCAGCTTTGCCATGGCAACCAGCGTGACCACAAAGGACATGACGGAGGCGAAGAAGTCACAGAAGGACAGGAGGCTGTACTTAGTCAGGCAGTAGCGCACTGTCTGCTCATCACAGGCATGGTAGAACTGGGAGGGGAGCAAGGAAAGCTGTTCATACATTTCTGAAAGCTATCCAAGAAAATGTGCTACGAAATGGCTGTAAATGTCAATATCAGACAGATTTCCTCATCCAGAATATTTTTTGTTTTGACCCCTTGAAATTGCATTTGATGCCATTTAGGACTGATTTTATGGGAAAACCACAACGGTTAATGTAAACTGTTCTTACCGACATGTCACTTCTGACGGTACCAATTTTACAATGTCACAATGGGAGCGAAGGTAAATGTGGCTGGGTCTCATTTAAAGGCAGTGACCAATTGTAAGTATTTTGTGGACAGAAACTGAGTTGATAAGAATCAAAGGTCTTACAGAATAACACTTGGCTTGGAGCACTTACATAAACCTGACATGTTGCAATACATAACAGCATAGGGGATCACAAAGACCTGAGATTAAACTACAACTGTCACCAAAATAAGAAGTGCTCTTACAGTGGAGAAGAACATGTTGAAGGTGTAGACCAGGGCGGCCACGTAGAACTTCCTGTAGATAGCCACACAGATGGCCGGAATGAACATGAGGTTACTCAGGGTCAGCAGCAGGACACGGGTCAGCTTGTTGTCGTAGGACAAGGAATTAGTTCCATCAGTACAGCCCCAGCCTGCCCAGGCTGGAAGGTAAAAGAACAGAACTTAAAAATAGGTTTCAACTGTAATTTCCAACACATAAAATTGGACGTACCCATGTTTTGAACTGTTCAACTCCAGCTACATTTCTAAAAAAACACAACTCAGAAACAATACACGACAAAAGTGTAAATAGACAACCTTTCAACACAAGATACTCCTTATTCCCACACATCAATGACTGGCTTATGCCAATGGCCAAGGGTTGAGATGAGGACCTTTTCTTGCATGACAACACACTGATAAAGACTTTAAGACATACCATCTTCACAGGAGCAGGCAGCATAGAAGAAGACACCACTGTAGTAGGTGTGGCATACTCCATTCTGTCCACAGTCATTGATACACGGCGTGATCTCTGTCCTCAGCTCCAGTGAACTGGTCAGGTTAGAACAGTTCACCTCTACACTGTCATTACTACAAAACAAAACAAGATGATCCTTTCAACTTGATGCTACATTGTAGTTCTATGTTTGCATATTTCTGGGCCCTTGTTTGCTTTATGACTCTTTACAAACATTTTGATGGGATGAATTTTCAGTGAGTTGCTGACAGTAACTTTTTGTCTGAAATCAAATGTATTCTAATGTAAACATTTCATGGATGAAGTCAAAATAAAGTACTTTCAAATTTTACAGCAAATTGCTTAAGCAAGAGTTTATAATTCCTACATACAAAAAGCGTAGTGGCACAGGTGAATCGAAAATAACCATCCTGTTAGTTAAACATCAACAGAATACTTCCTCTGTCTCCAATAAGGTGCGTGACTTTTGGATATAAATATTCTTATTCCTATTTTCATGGTGTTCTCATAATGCGAAATCATCGCACCGCAAATAAGTGTTTTGTATCATTGTGCAAAATGAAATCACTGAAAAAGAACTTGCAGTACATGTGTAATTGATAGGTGAAAATCACCTACCCAAGACAAAACCCAAGGCAATTATCTCAAAACATTTTGGCAACAATATCATACCTCAGAACAGAGACATTCCAGCAGGTTTTGTCCAGAGTTAGGTACCACACTCCTGGTTCTGGGAATGGGAAATACCAGGTGTGGTCTTCTGTGGTGCTGTTGGCCACCAGCTCATGGTCAGCTTCACAGTTAACCTTGGAGTCATCCTGACCGGGGGGAGCTCCGACCCGGTAACACAGACGTACACTGACAACCAGGTCAGGGTCCTGTGACATGGACAACACAACTTGTTAGTGGCAACATGCATCTATAATAATTCAAACTTTCAACTTACTTCCAGATGTGTGGTATGTGGGAAGGTGCACTACAATATTATCTATTACCCATATCCTACGTGATCCTTCTTACTAAGTAAGTTTAGATTAGATAATTAAATGTAACGCAGTCATCTTGCAGTTTCAACAAACTCTAGGAAAGCCGTGTAAGGCACTTACCAGAAATATCATGTCATTTTGTACAAAAGTAGTAACAGCCATTAACATATATTTGTCAGTTTACACATTATCTCCCACTTTGAAAAACTGTGTGTTTGTGAGATCTCTACTGCAAACACCCCCCAGTTATGTGCATTTCATATAGGTGTTGTATTTTAATGGGGGACATTGCATTGGATACCTGTTTGGATACAGTTTTTCAGGGTGGCAGATACATGTGACCTGGTAGAATATACAGTGTACAATGTAGTGTGCCATGCGACACCTTTAACAAGTGGATCAACTTTTATATAAGTGCCATGATAACTTTTCAGAAAACCAAGACTCACAGGACTCCGTATGTCCAGTCCTATGTTCAGGGTTCCCCCTGTGTCCTCCACTGGTAGAACCTGGAAGCTGAACACACTGAGCCTGTCTGACTCTGGTACACCTGGGTCTAGTTCATCTAAGACAAACGATGTCTGGAAGGCGTAAGGACTCTTAAACCTCTGGAGCCAATGGATGACTGGACACTGGTCAGTCAATGTGTTTTGTGAAGTAAGCTGCGGAAATCAAGGACACAACATTAGAACTTGAATAATCCAGAGAAAATTTCAGCAGAACAAAGATATATTCATATCTTTTGTATTATTCACATCCTTCATATTGAGGTGAGAAAAAGCCGTTAACTTATACAAAGTAAGACCATACTGACTTAATTACTAATATGTAGGGCTTGAATAACACTTGCTTTCTCCACCAAGTCTTCTAAACTCAAAGATGTGAAAGAACAAAAATGTAGAATTTATTCCTTGTGTTTTGTGTGTTCAGTTATTTCTTCAGCCTTCCTGACCACTCAGATTTCATAATGAAGGCAACTTTTTTTTGTCCAACTTTTTTCTTGCACACTCGCATCAGTTTTGGATTACCCAGAGGATGTCATCCATATAATCAAATCAGTTAGCCTAATACAGGTAATCTGAACAGTATATAAAGTCAACAAAGTTCACCTCAATATGTGTGGATTTAGCCAGGGCCCTTTGAAACCTGTGCTTCTTCTTGATGGGGAGTTCTCGGGCCATGGCTGCCATGGGAGCCTCGTGGGTAGATACTTTCTTCAACAGATGACTGTGTGAAGGAAGGCTGGTGTTCACCTGTTCCAGGTGACTCTCTCCTGTTTCATCTAAATAGTCTAGGGGTTTGTCACAAGCTGAAACATACAAAAGACAGGGACATATAAACAGAGACAAATGTACCATTGCAGGGGGTATTGTAAAGTGCCTGGTTTGTTCTGCATCTGCAGGAAGCAGTGATTACACCATCAGTATGTTGTGTCAGCATGTGGCAGTGTTCTAGCAGCCTGAATTTTTTTTTCGTCAGCTCAATTTTTTTTACATAACATCATGTTGAGCTTGATCACCAAAGGTGTGAGGCAATCCTAGGGGTCCTAGGAAACTTTTGAAATCTTCACCCCCTGAAATCCTATTTCCTACATTTTGAAGGGCGAATTTTGCTGGCAGACTAAGTAAGACAGTAAGACATCTTGAGCCACATAGTTCCTGTTTACAAGTTTCGTTCAGTCCGTTCCTCCTTAGACTCAGTTCCTTGACCTTGTAGTGTCGAGTGGCAAGAATTGCAAGGAAAGGCACTGTCAGTATGATGAGTGGGGAAAGGGGAGTATTGTATAGGCAGGGAGTAGCTAGGAAAGTGAGTTGAGGTGCAGGTGTTGGAAGATGTGTGCGTCTCTGTTGCTTATTGTGTTGGTTACATGTTTTGTCAGATCCAGAAGTTGGTAGTTTTGAGAGTCTAATATATGCATTGGGTGTGATTTTGTAAGGTGTAACCATCAACCTACTTGTTACCTACCTGTTACTTCAACTTCAATATTGAAGCTGACAGTTAGGTTGCCTGGCAACCGTGTCACTTCCAGGTAATACCAGGTGCTCTGGATGGGCGGGGTGTCGCTATGGATACTGCAGTCCTCCTCCATGGTGGAACAATTGACACTGTTCTCTTCACTGCCAGGCAATGGTAGTGATGCAGGTTTGAGGAGTAGGATAATAGGACAGCCGACTGTGGAGTTCACAGGCAACTGTTGGCAATCACTGATGGTGACTTGGACACTCAACGTGTTGGTGGGAACAAAGTACCTGTAGGAACATATCAAATTAGAAAGTGGTATTACACCTGGTATAAAAAAATGTATATTTCTTAGTGGCAAATGTGCAGATCTTGACACATTGGCAACACAAAATATCATCAGTGTTTGATATAAACTAAGGGTTTAATTTGTTGTCCATCTGGCAATTCTAAATTTCTCCCTGCTGCCTAACCCAGTGACCAATACAAATTTGATGCTGCTGCCTAACCCAGTGACCAATACAAATTTGGTGCTGCTGCCTAACCCAGTGACCAATACAAATTTGATGCTGCTGCCTAACCCAGTGACCAATACAAATTTGGTGCTGATGCCTAACCCAGTGACCAATACAAATTTGGTGCTGCTGCCTAACCCAGTGACCGATACAAACTTGGTGCTGCTGCCTAACCCAGTGACCGATACAAACTTGGTGCTGATGCCTAAACCAGTGACCAATACAAATTTGGTGCCTAAAAGCTACCTGAGCTGGCTGTAGATTAAGTAAGCATAAAGACTACTGTTACACAAATCTTGGCCCACAAGTGACCCATGAGATGTACAACTGAAAAAAAAAAAACAGTACCGGTAACAGAGTAACAGGTCTATGAAAAGACAAAAGGTGGCCTCACCTAAAGCCAGCTATGTCGCTTCCTGATGATGGCATCTTGTAATAGAGTGCACCTCGGTCAGACAGTACAGGTATTTCATCCAGGTACACAGTGGTATGGATCATACCAAGCATGTAGGTACAAGACACTGTCAGGTCCTGTTGGCAACATACATGTGCTGTAGTCAGATTATTAACTATTAATGATCCATGCTACTAATGGCAATTCTAGTAGTACCAGTAACAAATATTTTATACATACCGTAATATGCCAGGAATGCCCCTCACATGATACCACATTTTGAATGAAATATAAAACAAAAAATGACAATGAGTTCCTGAACAGTTTTCAGTGTGTGTGTATTCATACTTCCTAAATTCTGAGTGGTCCCAGTAAAATTT